GGTTCAAGATTTCTATTGTCAAGAAAATTTGTTCACGTAACAACAGTGGCATCTAGTGGTCATTACTGATGTCACAGCCTGATGGGCCAATTAAAACAATCCAAAAATTGTGGTTATGACAATAGATCAGGGCTGGCCCACAACATTTTGGCACCTGAGGCGGGGAGCTCAAATGACGCCCCCATGTCCCCCTCAACACTGTCTCTAGTGCCCTGCATTGCTGGTGTAGGTCTTCTTCAGGTATAGTGAGGAGTTTTGGAATATCATACAACATCTCAAATATACTGCTGTGTTCCTTGAGCTGCATGAAACGTTCTTCAACTGACTGTATTGCCCAATCTAGCACCTGGTTAAAGAATTCAACGTTGAATTGTTGTTTGGGGTCTCTTACAGGATTATCCCGTGCCTCGTAATCAAAATGTCTTGTTCTTCGGTGGCTCTTGTATTCTTGAATGGGTGGGAAAATAGCTTCAGTGTGAAGTTCCTCTGCCAACTTCTGTGCACTCTTCAGAACATTTTGAAATCTCTCATCTGACCGGTAAGACTGTAGGTATGACTTTGCTTTGTCTGGTTGTTCCATGGCTCTAGATATATCAAGGTCAACACCTGGGAGTCTCTTGCTTACAACATTTATTTCAAACAGTATGTCATGCCACAACACTAAGCCACACAGAAATTTGAAGTTACGTATGTTTCTGGTGATTCCATTTCCCTCTGCCACTGTTCTCCCACGTACAGTTCCTATCATAGTATTATCCTCCATAATGGCAACTATGGCATCATCTATCTTCCCACTTTGGTGTTTGATAGGCTTTATCGCCTCCACTCGACTTTCCCATCATGTGGCACTCAGTGATTTCAATGTCAGAGAGGATGTTCCTAGATGTTGCTTCAAAAATTGCCATCGATGAGTTGATGCAGAGAAAAATACATAGATGCTTTGAATTACATTAAAAAATTCAGCACCCTCACTAGAAGCTGATGCTGTATCACTGACCACCAAGTTCAATGAATGAGAACTGCATGGCACAAAAAAAGCTCAAGGGTTTAACTCTTGGATCCGGATCTGCACTCCTCTGTTCTTTCCTCTCATGTTGGCACCATTATTGTAGCCCTGACCTCTCATGTCAGCTTTCGCAATTCCTGTATCTTCCAGCTTTTTAAGAAGCACATTTGTTATACCAGCTCCTGTAGTATCAGCAATGTCAATACATTCTAGAAAATGCTCTCTGACAGTCACCACTGCAGGGACATTTTCACTAGGTTCTGATGTTATTACAAAACGCACCATTAAAGTCATTTGTTCCGTATGGCTGATGTCAGGTATGCAGTCCAGAATAACAGAGTAATATCTTGCTGACTTCAGAACTGCCACAATCTTCTGTTTGACTTTTGTTGCCAGTAACTGTATAATCTCATTATGAATTGTTTTTCCAAGGTAGTAGTGTGTGTACATTTCTTGGGTTGTGACTTTTCTTAGATGCTCCTGGAGTACAGGATCAAACTCAGCCATCAGCTCCACAATTTTAAGGAAGTTTCCATTGTTTGGCACTACAGCTGATCTGAAGTGCCACGCAGTGCTAGGTTTTGAGTAGCAAGCATTCTCACAATGGCAATGAGTCTTTTCAGAACATTTTGCCAGTAAAGAGACTCTGGTGCAATCTTCTTTTGATGCTGATCATCTATGGTGGCCTTTAACCTTAGTCTCATCTCAAGCTCTTTCCACCTATGGAATGCTCTCTGGTGATTTGCTGCCTTCTCATGGCACGCCAAATTTCTAGCCAGATTTTTCCAGTCCTTTGTTCCTGTAGAACCCAATGTGGCTGGAACATTAGACTGGAAGAGTTTGCAACAAAAACAGTATGCAGCATTCTGGGTTTTTGAGTACATAAGCCATGGCCTCTCCACTTTGTCACCATTGGGGATTTCACGACAGTAACGTGTTGGATGGAAACTTCTATATTTATTGTCTTTGGGAAACATGCAGTTTTTCACTTGCTGTGACCCATGCAGTACACGGAAGTCCCTCAGACTACTGCTCAAGTGGGTCCATAGTCCTGGATCATCTAGACTTAAGGAACTAAACTCAGCAGCAGCTGTTTCTTGCGCCTCCACCACACTCTTCTCTAATCTACACTTTTCTTCAGGAATGTACATGGTTACATCCATTTGAGATGGAGATATGGATGCTGCAGTAGTTGCCAGGTCACCTGCACTCTGACTAACTGGAAGATCAGGCATCTCCTCACCACTCACATCCTCACTGGGGCCGGAAGGCTCACCGTAAACATTTGTTTCTATGTATCTCAGGAGAGCTCCTTCCTGCTTAGATAGAAAAGCTTCCTTTGTTTTCTTTCTTTTTCTGAATGCTGCCCCAGAGGGGCGTTTTCTTCTTTCACTCATGACTGCTGTTCTGTGCCAGCTATAGTGGCTCTCAACACTCAATTGAAGGGGACAGATAAGCAGGCTGGTAGCTGGGCCTGAGAGAGGGAAGATATCAGCATCTTAAGGGCCTAACTGGCTCCTACTACTTCAGGTGACTGCCTGTTCTCCTCAAGTGGGTTCAGGGAAGCAGCAGGAAACAGGAAGCTCCCTGAGAAGCTGGTGTTAATCAGTCCAGGCTCCTGGGGGTGCTAGAGAGGTACATAAGAGGCTGCTCCTCCTCTCTCTCCCTGCAGCTCCTGCTGCTTTCTGTTATTCCCTCTCACCTTTTCTCCTGCCTGCCTGTTATGTCTCTTGTGCCCTCCTTCCTCCAGCACAGCACTCCACCATCTCTGTGCATCTAGAGCAGAGAGAATACATATGCACCAGCAGCAGACACAATTTTCTACACTCTGGGTCCTAGTAGCGCCCCCGGTCCCCGAGTCTGGCACCTGAGGCGGCCGCCTCAGTTTGCCTCATGGTAAGGCCAGCCCTGCGATAGATGTCCACTTTTCTTCACTAAAACACATCAACACCATAACAGTGATATCTGGCAGTTGCTTCATGTTACTACCACTGAACCACAAATTGCCCTACTGTAGGTAACATCTCATACCCTTCTTCAAATTGTGAGTTTTGTTAATTAGACTCTTAGAGTAAGCCATTCAAGGCAGGGATAATCTGTTTCTGAAATGCTTGTACAGTGCCTAGCAAAATAGGACTTGGTCCTGTAAGTGCTGCAGCAATATAAATAATAAACTACATAATATTACTTTACTATAGGGTTTTTTTAAGGTTGCCAAGCCAAGCACTAAGAAGTTAGGAAATGCCAAAATTAAGGTTGGTGAGATAATATCTTTTATTGGACCAACTTCTGTTGGTGGAAGAGACAAACTTTCAGGCTTCACAGAGCTTCTTTTCAGGTCTGCAAAAGATAACCAGAGTGTCACAGCTAAATACATGGTGGGACAGCATGTTAATTAACACCTCTGCATTCATAGGACCAAACAAGGGTTAGTGGGTGACAATTATTGTAATGAGCTATAAAATTACGGTGTCTTTGTTCAGACTATGATTTTTAGTGTCCAGCAAAGTTATGAATTTAAGTTCCCAGACATGTCTTTTGAAGGAGTTGTGCAGGTTTCCTTTGAGGACGAGGACTAATAGGTCAGAGATGAAGTGATCGCTTTGTGAAAAGTGTTTGCCCATGGGTGATATGTTATTTTTGTCTTTTATCATTTTTTCTATGAGTTCATTTGAGAATGTAGTAATTGTCTGATTTCACCCACACAGTTGTTTTTGGGGCATTTGATGCACTGGATGAGGTCCACCACAGGTTGTTATAGGCATGTATAGGCCCAGGGATCTTGAAAGGTGTGTTGTGGGAGGTATTGATCATTGTAGCTGTGGAAATATGTCTTCGGGTTTTACATCTATTGTACATCTACTGGCAGGGTGTGGTGCCCCTTTGAGTTGGTGTGTCCTGGTCTGTGGGGAGCTTGCTTCTGACAATGAGGTTGGTGAGGTTAGGGGCTTGTTTAAAGGCCATATTACATTTATAGTATAACCACAGTTATGAACACTAGAGTTACAAACTGACCAGTTAACCACACACCTCCACTGGAACCAGAAATACACAATCAGGCAGCAGCAGAGACCAAAAAAAAAAAGGCAAATACAGTACTGTGTTAAACATAAACTACTGAAAAATAAAGGGAAAGCAGCATTTTTCTTCTGCATAGTTAAGTTTCAAAGCTGTATTGAGTCAATGATCAGTTGTAAACTTTGGAATGAACAACCATAATGTTTTGTTCAGAGTTAGGAACATTTCAGAGTTATGAACAACCTCCATTCCCAAGGTGTTCGTAACTCTGAGGTTCTACTGTATACCTATGCAGACTTCAGATAACCAATACAAATGTTACCAAATGTTTCCTTATTTATATAGTGAATGAGAAGAAAATTATAAAAAATTATAATATGCAGTACAACTTTGCATGACTATCAACATATTATAGTATGTAGATTAAATGCACTTGTTTTTACAACGTTACATAAAGGATAATATAAATAACCCATTAGCAAACATTTTATATTACCGATATTTATTATTTATTTTGCTTTAGGGCCTAACATATACCAGCTATTTTCAAAATACAGAAGAAATACAAATACACAGTCCTTGTCCTGAAGGGCATACAATTGTAAAAGACAAAATGATTGATAGGTTTATATTGTAACATTTTCACTGAGATTAAATATCAAGACACTAAATTTATGTATGCACTTCATAAATATAACTGCAAGCCCAGGACTGAGTAGCATTTCCTAGCATGAAAACGATAATATTTATGCTCCTTTCTTATTCCTGAGTCTTCATCTTATTTTTTTCTTGACGTTTACTGTGTATGTGTATTGCCTAATAGGAAATAAGTGATGTTTCATGACTAAGTAATAGCTTATAATAAAGGGCCACATCATCAAAGATAAGAGTTGAGGGCACTCGGTACCTTGCAGGATTTATCTTTAACTGCTAGTGGCAGTCCCCAGTGTTTTATTCTACTGTTGACACTCCAGATTTATTTATCTAATTCTTCTAAATCTGAGAATTCAAACTGCATAGTTGATTTCAGTATTTTCTCAACCTGTGTCAGTCGTTTTTTCAGTTTCTGCTGTGTGGCATCATACTCAGCCAACAGCCTGGCAAGCTTTGTTTGTAAGTTGTCCACTGCTCCTTCCATTTGAATGACCTTTTCTTCAATGTTTTTAGGGTCACTTCCTGTATTTGCAACATTTATATCCAGTAACCCATCCTTCAGCAAGATTTCCTTACCTTTCTCTTCCAGCAGGGCCTTTGCATCTGGGTACTCTATTAAAGCCTCCATGAGGTCATCTTTAGATAGACAAAATAAGTCTGAGTATCCAATGCTTCTAATGTTGGCTGTTCTTCGATTGCCAGCTTTGCTGCCTTTGATATTAAGGATGCTAATCTCCCCAAAGTAGCTGCCATCACTTAGAACCACAAATTGTGTAATTCCATCATCAGCTACTACAGCAAGTTTACCTTCTTTGATAATGTACATCTCTCGTCCAATGTCCCCCTTTCGGCAGATGTAATCTCCTGGACTGTAGACTTGAGGCTGCAGTTTCAAGACTAGTTCAACTAACAAGCCAGCTTCACAATCTGCAAAAATTCGAACTTTCTTTAATGTGTCCAGATGAACACTGATTGCGATCTCTGCTCTTAATTTATCTGGTAGATATTTTAAAACTTCTCGTTCATCCACTGCCTTTTTATTTGTCCACAAGTAGTCAAACCACTTAATAACTCTTTTTTCTATTTCTTTATTCACATTTCGAAAGTGCATATATTGCTTGATAGCATCAATCCTTCCTTGAAACTCTGCTCTGGCTGCATTCATATTGGAGATCATAGAACCAATGTTACCAACAATAGTAGCAAAGATCAACACCCCAACCAAGAAGTCAACAACCACAAAGAAGTACTCAGAATCCTTTACAGGAGGAGGTGTTTCCCCAATAGTGGTCAAGGTCAGCGTCGACCAGTAGAGGCTATATACATATTTTCTAGCCAGACGGGCAAATTCAGGATCAGAGGTGTTTGGATAGACCCATGTGTCTGTCCCAAATCCAATGGCTTTGGAGATAGAATAGTACATACACGCATTCCAGTGAATAATAATCACTATATACATGACAAGAGTGGAGATCCTGAAGATATTTGGATAGTTTGTCCTTGTTTCTGTTCGCTGGAAGAACTCAAACATACGAGATACTTTAAGTACTCTGTTTATTCTTAATTCTGGATAGTTCAGACCTAATTTAAAGTACAGTAGATCAGTTGGTATGACTGACAGTAGATCTAGTTTAAATTGTAAAGTTCCTGTATATTTCTGTTTAAGTTTAAGTTCTTCTTTCACCAACAGACCTTGCTCCAGGAAACCTAAAATAAAATATAAAATCTTTAAAATTCTTTGACTTTGACTTTTTTGTTGCTTTATCATCTATTGCATTCTGTTATATGTGAATGTCAAATTAATCTTTAAAATTATATTGGCTATAGAGTTTCTGGCCATACATACTTTTCCATCTTTTTATCAAGATGCATAGTTTTAACAGCTATATATTTTAATTGGATTTTAACTTTAAGGCCCTATGTTGAATTTTTGTAGATAAGCAATCGGGCCCAAATCTTGGACCTAGACGACTTGATTAAGCAGAGCCATCTGTACTGCCTAGCCTGGCTGGGCTCCGTGGAGTCTTATGGAAATCCTGAAGGGAGGAACCATCACCCATGGTGGAAGTGTCACACTTACAGCCTCCCAAGTCCACCCTCTTCCTGCTGTGGTTTCTGCTGCCCTAGCACCTAGTAACCTTCATGGCCCTTGTGTGGGAGAGAGAGAGTTAGAGTGAGGACAGTGCTCATGCATGTGCATTCCATTCCTTGTTCACCCACCCCACCCCCAAACAACTCTCCTCCTAGGGTAAGATTTGTAAAAATGGATGCATAAATATAATGAAGCTAACTGGAGCTGCTGGGGGCTCATCACTCTTGAAAATCAGGCTTCTGATTTAGGTGCTTAAATATGGAATTAGGAACCTAGTTTTAACAACACATTTTTGAAAATCTTGATTCTAACTCGTACAGAGAGCAAGTGGATTCTCTGCCTTGTCCTGTACTACATGGTTCTCAAGTTCAGCCAGGAAAGGTTGCAGCTGGCTTAAATGGTGGCAAGAGGTTTATATATTTCTTACTACTGCATAAATGTGGTGCAGGGTTTTAGCCACATGGTATATCCTGGTTTGCAGTTCATAAGCTATGTTCATTACACCTGGGGTAAGGAGGTATAATTTTATGTTTCCTCCACCAATATGACCCCTTGCACACCAGGGATTCACCACAAAAGAGGGCAAATGGTTCCTCCTCCCTAGGGATTTTCTTCTGTTCTTTTAGAAAATGTTTACAGCTTGGATTATAAAGATATTTTAAAATCTTTAACAAAGGGGAAAAAAGATAAAAGTTCTAGCTTTAGTTTGATTAGGCAGTATATATAGTTTGAGTATAGTTTCAATGACGGACTTTCTAGGAGTTTTGTCAGTGGCGAATACAAATCAGCACATCCCTGCCATACGTATAATGTTGTTCTCTATATACCACTTCACATTTGCTGCCAAAGCCCTGTTTTAGCATAAGCAGCTGGACACTGCCCTCCTTTTTCAGGCAAATTCCCGTTGAATTTCAATGGCAGTTGTGCCTAAAAGGGATTGCTGGATTGGTCCCTGCTTTATGGAACATTTAAATTAGGACACTAAAGTAGATTACAGATAAACTTATGTCTGATGTATAAAACATGATGAAGTACATCACAGAATATAAACAAGTGTGTGTGTCTGTGAAATATTTGAAGTGTGACTCTAAAACTGCAGAAATTATGTTTGCAATGGAAGGACTTCAGTTCCTTTCTGCTAGAAATCAGGATGACCTTGTTTGTCAAGATATATTTCAGTGTGAAGTCATTCCGGCCTCCTTTATTGAGGGAAAATTGCCAGCAAGATACTTCTTTACTTCATCATTTCATAGATATAAAGTGTAACTGGAGAGTCAATTTAACTGGTCCATTCCAGGAGAGGGCCAATTCTTCTTTAATTGTTGCATTTGGCCCCTAAATCATATACTGATGGGCACCTTAAAGTCCTAACACAGATAAATGTAGATAACTAAACAGTGAGTACATCTACCTGTTCTTGTCCGTACAAACATATCAGCAATATAGATTATATCTGATATATAATCAAAAATGAACCACATTCCTAAATGGTCGATCTGAAGTTCATCAAAACAGGCTCTGGATAGGAAAAGAAAAAAAGTACACAATTAAAATAGTCCCAATGAGATCAGTAATTAATACAGTAAATATGCCATATATTCAGAGGCCCTACAATTTTTTTTATGTGTTCTTTAAAGGATCTCTGTCATGCTTGAGCAAACTTTGGAAAATGTAATATTTTTATCAAAACTTTTATAACATAAAAACAAGTATTTACAAAGTATATTTTAAAGGCTTTGTGGAAAAACCTGTTTTCAGATATGCTTTCAGAAAATGTTTACAACTCAGATTATAAGGATCTTTTAAAATATTTAACTGAGAAAAATTAATTTGAGTAACTGTAGGTGGAGCTGATAGCTATGCAATGGTTAAGATTGCCTAACACTTTCCTTTATAAGATCCTGTTTTATGTTGCTTATAACTTTGCCAAACCTCAATTAATGTATATGCATTTCATTACCAGGGAGAGTAAGACTGATAAAATATAGAAGCATCAGACTGAAAAATGTAATGAAATTAAGTTAATGAAAGTCCTTTATTGAACTGGACAAAAGACATGATGGAAAGAATTTTAGAGATTGTAAATAAATGTGTGTGATCTCTACTATTGAACCTAAGCGTCTGTAGACTGTATTCAATACCAGACTGAAAGGATAAACACAGTAAAAGTACTGGGTCAATACATTATTTTTATCCATTCTATCTGATAAAAACAAGGCTTTCCTTGTGGCAACCAGATGAGAGGATTTCATTACTTTAATGGGGAAAGAGAGAGGATAGGGGAAAATGCACACTGTTATACATCACCTAGCAATGATCATAGTCCAGTTGTACATGACAGGTAATGTGATGCAAAACAGCCAGTAATAATACAAGTTTCCTGATGGATCAATAACAAAAAGATCTTTCTTCTCCCTGAGCAGTAAGCAGAAAGGAAAGGGAATATTAGTGAGAAACTTATAAAAATGGAAATGGGTTTTAGGAACCACAAAAGATGTTCCATGGTTACTAACATATGCTGGTCATTTAGTTTAGTAGGCAGTTCATTTGTGTAAGAACACCCTTAAATTCAAATTAGCCTCCTTGTTTGAATTCCTGGATAAGAAACTAGTTGGTGAACATGATTTGGATACTAGAACCTAGGACACAAGGGAAATTAAATTGGCGGGCTTCAACACAAAGTCATAGTGACACATGTAGTTTCAACCTTTTTCAAAATAATCTGTTTCCCACCAAGTTAATTTTCTTCTTTGTAGAATAAATGAGTCAAAGCATCTTTGCTTCATCTTTTCAGAAGGAAAATGGCTATGTGGCCATTAGTATTTGAATGCGTTGAACAGATCATGCCTTCAGTATTAGGGGAGTCTAAGACTGGTTGTGAAAGATGAAACACTGCAAAGGATTGCAGAAGAAACTAAGGAACCTAGAGCACTTCATTGCTTTACATTCTTTCTGGCCCCCAAAATTCTATTTATTTACAAAGTAAAATGCCTAAACATACTAATGTGACAGATTTTCGTTATTAATTTGCTTGGGCCCATAGTTGATTAGGCTGGGACTACAGGATTTTTTGTGGGGAGGAGATGACGAGGCACACCACGTATTTGAATTTTAAAGCTTTATTGATAAAATAATAAAATAACAGCGGAGAGTGCTGGAAACGCTTTTCTGTTATTTAAAGGAAGGAAGAAAGCATTAATGCCCCAAGCTTTAACCTACTTTTATATTTATACCACGCACAACCCAGACTGGCCAAGTCTAGGTGTAATGTTAGAAGAAGGGGGGAAGGGGTGGACGGGGAGTGCTGTCCTGGGCCCAGGTCGTCCAAGAATCCGCTGTGTTTTCCGAATTGCTCCAGCTCTCAGGAGGGTTTTTAAGTCCTGGGTTTTTTGGGGGGTGGTGTTATTTAGGGCCCTCTGTGCCTGGTGCTCTTTGTACCAGTCCCAATTGGCTTGCTGTGGCCTTTTTGGCTGCCCAAAACACACCGGCTCCAGGGACGCCCGGCACGGCGTCCCCCTCTTGTTGTTTTGTTTGTGTTTTTATACTTTGCTGGTTATTTTTTTTGGTTGGCCTTGCCGGTTTGCAGGTCTGGTCAGTAGGATTCTTCTTTCTTACAGCTGCTCAGAAAGTGTTTAAGCCCCGTCTTTCTTGGCTCATAGTCAAGCCTCGGCTGTGAGCTGTGTCCCTGGGTGGGCGAGCGGGCGGGCTGGCTGGGGCCAGCTTTTATTTTTGGATTTAGCTAGCTGGAGCGTTGAATTGATTTGTTTTTTGCCTTTTTTTATTTTATTTTTGGGGGCTTTTTGTACCTGCTAAAAAAACTTCCACTCCGCACTCACACACCTTTGACCCTCCCCAAAATGCTTTGCAATGCTTGCAACAGTGTTAGCCACATACAGTGCTAATTTGCCATCCTTGGGGACTCCCTAAGGGAGGGAGCCATTGGGGTGTGACACTAAGAGAAAAACAAGACTCTTTACATTGTAGGTGCTCTTAACTCGCTTTTGGATCCTAATATGAGTGGATGAGGCTGCTTTATTGTGGCCCCAGTGCATCCTTAAAGTGGGTTTTCACAAGGGTGGTGATTAAGTTTTATATGAAGTTCTGCATAGTTCCATCTTATCGCCCCTCTTGTTCAATATTTGTGTGGCATTACTGAGAGGGCTAATAAGGAGAAAAGGACTGCATCATATCCAGTATGCTGATGACATGCAGCTTTGTCACCATTTCATGTGACCAATTAAAATGCTCAATGAGCTTAGTATGTGTGTGAAATTGGAGCATGGATGACAGCTAGATGTTTGACATTCAGCCCAGTCAAGACTGAGGTGGTGCTATTCTTGTTGCTTCTCCCCAAAAGTATGTGGCAAGAATACCTCTCCTTTTAATTTAGGGCACCTCTTCTACATGTTGGTTAGGTTTGCAATCGTCTGGCTGGATTTCCAACTGTTACTAGAAAATGAGGTAGCAGCAAAAGCCAAATCACATTTTTATCATTTCTGTAGTCAGGAGAATGTGCCTGTTCCTTTTGGATGCAGTCCTTGTGACCGTCATCCCTGTCTTTATCATCTCAAGATTGAATTACTGCACTGCACTCGATATCAGGTTATGCCTTAAAATCATCCAGAAGCTGAAGCTTGTAGAGAATACAGCAGCCTGTTTGGTCAGTGGAGGATCTCACTAGGAGCATAATCATACAACAAGTGCTCCAATCTCTGCACTGGCTGCCTGTAGGGCTTCAGGTGAAGTTTCAGGAATTGGTTTTGACCCCAGTGAACATTTAGGTCTCAGGAGCTACCTACATGAGAGACCACTTCTCTCCTCATGCTAAAATACCATAGCGGAGAACAGAAGAAGTGCCGGAGCTGAAGCCTGGTATTATAAATTGGGCTGCTGATGGGACATTCTCTGTGAGGGACCCACAGCTTTGGAATTCACTCCCCATGTTGCTTCAGGAAAGCCTGAATCTGATGAGCTTCAGAGCATACCGTAAAGCTCCTCTCTACTCCCCAGGTATTTGAAAAAAGGGTAATTGCTGGACCGGAGGGGAAGGGAGTTTGAGTTCTTAAGTTGGTTTGCTGGTGCTCAGTCATACTGAATTGCACTGCTTCACTTCAGTTCTGTTGTGATATTTTGATGCCTTTTAGGTGTATAGCTAGATGCCCTTTTCAGCATTTGTATAAATCTAATTAATAGATAAATGTAAAACAATAAAGAGTCAGAGTGGCATTAGTAGCCACTTCCATAATAAGTATAATTGCACACTGCACCAGTTGCAGTTCCTGGAGGCATTTTGCCAGTGGAAAACACAAACGGATAAAATACCGTTTGAGGGTACTGCCACAGTGCACCCTAGAGCAGCATTTACCGCATCCTTTAATGGTGCAGTGGGTACTTCTCCCACCACTCACCCTGGTTGTCCAGCTACTGGTGAAAAAGAGCAAGAGTATAGCCATACTCCATCATGCCTCCTTTGGAATGTCTGGTAGTTCTCTTACTCTCCCTCAGGAGCACAAGCATCACAATTTTGGCTACCCCCTGCACAAATGAGCAAGTGGAGGTGCTCTCTTCCCCCTTTACACACTCACACAACAGCAGCCAAAAATTGGCTCAATTATTCTTTACACTACATGCAGAGAAATTTCAGTACATTCATTATATACAATACAACAGTAAAAACACATGCAAAGGTAAGTGATAACACAAAGTGGTAAAACGTACACAACAAAAATAAAACAGTTTTGCAAACCTATAAGAACTGTGTATAGGTTTGTATTTTCTGTAATACTCTACCACCTTGACCTTTATTTCTGCCTTTCCTGAACAGCACATACCCTTCAATACCTGTGTTCCAGTCATGACTACTATTCCATCATATTTCTGTTATCCCTATAATATCTGGTTTCACTTCCTGCACCAGTTGTTCTAGTTTTTCCATTTTGTTACCCAGGCTCCTTGCATTGGTGCACAGACATCTTAGTTGTTTCTGCTTAGCTTCACCCAGATTCCTCACCTGAGTAGGTACAGTCATTCTACTACTGGTATCGCCTATCTGACAATTAGCATAATTGGTATTGGTACTGTCTTTCCTCTTAATATCCTACCCACTGGTGTTCCTTTCTCCACTCCTGTAGTCTTTCTTTCTTTATTTTTCCAATATTAGCCTTTGAAGGTTGGTCCAAAACTTCTGATAGTTTGTCCAATTTCAAGTCTAAACTCATTGATGGCCGGTTTATATCCATTTGTTCTTGTGCCAGCATTGGCCCTTAACTGAAATAGCTCCTCTCCCTCCCTGGCCTTTATCCATCTGATGTATTTATAAAGAGCAACCATATCTCCCCATAGCCTTTGTTTTGTTAGGTTAAACATGCCAAACCCCTTAAGTCTTCTCTCATAAGGGAGGTTCTCCATCCCTCTGAACTTCCAAGTAACCCTTCTCTGCACCTGTTCCACTTTGAATTAATCTTTCTTAAACATGGGAGACCAAAATTGTACACAGTATTCCAGATGAGGTCTTACCAGTCCCATGTATAATGGTAATAACATTTTCTTATCTTTCCTGGAAATATTTTGACTGATGCATCCTCAGATTGTATTAGCATTTTTCACAGTCACATCACATTCATTGCTAATAGTCATCCTCTGATCAACTAGTACTCCCAGGTCTTCCAACTGATAGCAAAAATTCTTCTTGTTCCCCCCTAAGTGCATGACATTACAATTTGCACTATTAAACTTCATCCCATTTCTAATATTTCAGTTTTCAAGGTCATCCAAATCGTGTGTGATATTCCAGTCCTCCTCCTATATTGGCAGTACCCCCCTACTTTATCTCATCTGCAATTTTTATTAGCATGTTCCCACTTTTTATTCATGAAAATGTTAAATAAGATTGGACCCAAGACTGATCCTTAAGGAACGCCACTGGAAACCTCCTTCCTGTGTGACATTTCACCTTTTAGCATGACCTGTTGCAATCTTCCCTTTAACTAGTTCCTTACACCCCTTTTGATTCTTATATTAATCCCCATCTTCTCCAATTTAACTAATTTCCCCTGTGGAACTATATCAAATGCTTTACTGAAATCCTGGTATATTAGCCCTAGTCTACACTACGAGTTTAGGTCGAATTTAACAGCGTTAGATCGATTTAACCCTGCACCTGTCTACACAACGATGCCATTTTTGTCAACTTAAAGGGCTCTTAAAATCAATTTCTGTACTCCTCCCGGACGAGGGGATTAGCGCTGAAAATAGACCCTGCTGGGTTGAATTTGGGGTAGTGTGGATGCAATTCGACGGTATTGGCCTCCGGGAGCTATCCCAGAGTGCTCCATTGTGACCGCTCTGGACAGCACTCTCAACTCAGATGCACTGGCCAGGTAGACAGGAAAAGCCCCGCAAACTTTTGAATTTCGTTTCCTGTTTGGCCAGTGTAGCGAGCTGATCAGCACAGATGACCATGCAGAGCTCATCAGCACAGGTGACCATGAAGTCCCAGAATCGAAAAAGAACTCCAGCATGGACTGAACGGGGTACTGCATCTGATCGCTGTATGGGAAGACAAATCCGTGCTATCTGAACTCCATTCCAAAAGACAAAATGCCGGAATATTTGAAAAAATCTCCAAGGGCATGAAGGACAGAGGTTATAACAGGGACCCACAGCAGTGCCGCGTGAAGCCTACCAAAGAACCAGAGAGCCCCAGACATGCTGCTTCACTTGATGAGCTGCATGCCATTCTAGGGGGTGCCCGTACAACTACCCCACCCCTGTGCTTCCCTCCTCCCCCACCCCTCCCAGGCTACCTTGGCAGCTATCCCCCCATTTGTGTGACGAATTAATAAAGAATGTATGAATTTGAAACAACAATGACTATTGCCTTTGCAAGTGGAGATCAAAGGGGGGAGGGGAGGGCGGTTGGCTTACAGGGAAGTAGAGTGAACCAAGGGGGCAGGTTTTCATCAAGGAGAAACAAACAGAACTTTCACACCGTAGCCTGGCCAATCATGAAACTGGTTTTCAAAGCTTCTCTGATGCACAGCGCGCCCTGCTGTGCTCTAACCGCCCTGGTGTCTGGCTGCACGTAATCAGCGGCCAGGCGATTTGCCTCAACCTCCCACCCCACCATAAACATCTCCCCCTTACTCTCACAGATATTGTGGAGCACACAGCAAGCAGTAATAACAATGGGAATATTGGTTTCGCTGAGGTCTAACCGAGTCAGTAAACTGCGCCAGTGAGCTTTTAAATGTCCAAAGGCACATTCTACCACCATTATGCACTTGCTTAGCCTATAGTTGAATTGCTCCTTACTACTGTCCAGGCTTCATGAGCCATGGGAGCAATGGGTAGGCTGGGGTAGGTGCGACCGCATGGTGATGCCGAGTGAGAGAGCAGCCTGAGGCAGAAACCTCCAGCTGGCATGATATTCCAGGCAGGACTGAATCTCCATTAGACGAAACTTAAAGAAGAGAATGACCTGGAGTCATTCCCATTTTTGTCCAGGCGCCCCCAACCAACCTCACCGAGGCCGGCCAGGAGCACCCATGTCTGCCCAGGCGCCCCCGACCAACCTAACCGAGGTTGGCCAGGAGCACTCACGGGACGACGACGACGG